AGAGGCGGAGGCTTCTGCCTGGACCTCCGCTGCAAGGAAAGGGACGCCGTCGTGACCCGCCTCTCTCTCTTACCTGTAGAAGGACCGAGGAACCCGGCGAGGGAAGAAAGGAAGCGCCGCTAGAGAGGAGGAGGAGGAAAGCGTTCCCCGCGGAGTAGCCCTGCCCTGCCCTGAGGCGCCTTCCCCGGGAGACGGCGGAGAAAGGTCGGGAGGCCCTGGGGCTGCAGGAGGGATGAGCCCAGGGGGACGCCGGGAAAGGCGGCTGCCTGGAGGGCGATGCGGGGAGGAGGAAACGGGTGGAGACCCCGAGACGGGCCTGGAGAGCGGAGGGTCCTTCGGAAAATCCCGGAATCTCCAAAGGATCCAGGAGGAGGGAAGGAAATATCAATGCCCAGAATGCGAAAAATCCTTCAAAACTAATGACCATCTTCAAAGACATCTTAGAATCCATTCAGGAGAGAAACCTCACAAGTGCCTGGAGTGTGGAAAAAGCTTCAGTCAGTTGGGAAACCTTTCTAGACATCATAGGATCCATTCCGGAGAGAAACCATACGAATGCATGGAGTGCGGAAAGAGATTCAACCTGAAGGAAAGCCTTAATACACATCAAAGAACCCACACAGGAGAGAAGCCACATAAATGCTTGGAATGTGGAAAGAGCTTCCATCTGAGGGAAAGCCTTTTTAGACATCTAAGCATCCACTCAGGAGAAAAGGAATACCAGTGTCGGGAATGTGAAAAATCCTTCAAAACAAATAACGATCTTGAAAACCATATAAGAATCCACACAGGGGAGCAACCTCATAGGTGCCTACAGTGTGGAAAAAGCTTCAATCATATGAGCAGCTTCTATAGACATAAAAAAATCCATTTACAAAAAACATATGAATGCTGGGAATGTGAAAAATCCTTCAAAACAATTCAAATCCTTGAAGAACACCTAAGAATCCACTTGGAAGAGAAACCTAATAAATGTCTGGAGACAACGGAGTCCGTCGGCAATCCTGGAAATCCACAAAGAATAGAAAAGAAGAAATCTCCAAAGGGAGAAAAGAAATACAAGTGCCCAGAATGTAAAAAAACCTTCAAGAGAAATGGACACCTCCAAATCCATCTAAGCATCCACTCAGGAGAAAAGGAATATCAGTGTCCGGAATGTAAAAAATCTTTCCGAAGAAAAGACCATCTTCAAAGCCATCTAACAATCCACTCGGGAGAGAAACCTCATAAATGCCTGGAGTGTGGAATGAGCTTCAATCACAGGAGTAGCTTTAGTAGACATCAAAAAATCCACTCAGGAGAGAAACCAAATAATTGCTTGGAGTGTGGAAAGAGCTTCAATGATTGGAGCAGCCCTTGTAGACATCAAACAATCCAGTCAGGAGGCAAACCAAACAATTGCTTGGAGTGTGGAAAGACCTTCAATGACAGGAGCAGCCTTTATAGACATAGAAGGATCCACTCGGCAGAAAAATCGTATAAATGCCTGGAGTGTGGAAAGAGTTTTGGTCATTGGAGCAACCTTCATTTACATCAAAGGATCCACTCGGGAGAGAAACCTCATAAATGCCTGGAGTGTGGAAAGAGATTCTGTCAGAGGAGCAGCCTTTATAGACATAGAAGAATCCACTCAGGAGAAAAACCGTATAAGTGCCTGGAGTGTGGAAAGAGGTTTGGTCATTGGAGCAACCTTCATTTACATCAAAGGATCCACTCGGGAGAGAAACCGTATAAATGCCTGGAATGTGGAATGAGATTCTGTCAGAGGAGCAGCCTTTATAGACATAGAAGAATCCACTCAGGAGAAAAACCGTATAAGTGCCTGGAGTGTGGAAAGAGCTTCCGTCAGAAGACTAATCTTTATCTACATCAAAGGATCCACTCGGGAGAGAAACCGTATAAATGCCTGGAAT